AGGCTGAGGCAGGAGAATTGCTTGAACCCGGGAGGCAGAGGTTGCAGTGAGCTAAGATTGCACCACTGCACTCCAGCCTGGGGGACAGAGTGAGACTCCATCCCCCCCAAAAAAAAAAAAATGCCGGGTGTGGTGGCTCATGCTTGTAATCCCAGCGCTTTAGGAGGCCGAGGCAGGTGGATCACAAGGTCAGGAGATCCAGACCATCCTGGCCAACACGGTGAAACCCCGTCTCTACTAAAAATACAAAAAAATTAGCCGAGCATGGTGGCAGACGCTTGTAGTCCTAGCTACTTGGGAGGCTGAGGCAGGAGAAGGGCGTGAACCCGGGAGGCAGAGTTTGCAGTGAGCCGAGATCGCGCCACTGCACTCCAGCCTGGGCAATAGAACGAGACTCCGTCTTTTAAAAAAAAAAAAAAAGAAAACCACACAAAGACAATAAAATGCCCCCTTTAAAGTGCCCTTTGTGAAAGGTGGTTGAGGGGGAAGCCAATCTAGCATCCTACATCCAGCAAAAAATGCCCTTCAGCAATGAAGGAGAAATCAAAACAGATTCTTTATTTGTAAAAGGTAGATAATAACAACACCTACCTCCTTGGGTTGTCATAGAGAGTAAATTATTTAATGTACGTAAAATACTTTCAACAATACCTGGCAGGTGATAAGCAGTATAGTTATAAATGAAAAATAAAAACAATGCAAAAATCAGCAACGGCAACAAAAAAGAGAGAAAACGACATAGGGTCGGGAATGCCTTAGACTCTTAGCTAATTTTCCTGGAGTTCTCTCTTGGAAAGAAACAGTAATTTGAGAAAAGCATAAAGCAGCTAATTCGTACCAATTTTAGTGTCTAGGATTTTTCTCCTCCCCTTGTCTCTTGGGAGAAGACCGTGATCACAGGTCCCATGACGGGAGGTTGGGGGCATCTCAGCTCTGCAGAACTCCGTAGCAGGGTGGGACTGGGGGACGTGGCCGGCTCCGTCTTTATTTCCAGGAACAATAGAGAAGGAAAGCTCTAGCCCCCTCAGACTCATCGCTTTCACTTCCCAAACGCTCTCGATTCAGCTTTGCACATAGCTGGAAATGTGTTTGGCATCTTAAACCTGGGACGAGCCATTGAAGTCAGAATGTCCTTCTAGCCGTTGTGCTCTCCAGCACTTCAATTGGGATCTGACGTTCTCTTGAGAATTCAGACATCAGAGAAGTTCCCTTCAGTGGACCCC